AAAAGCTGCGAGGCAGAGATCGATACACTGCCAGGATCACACACAGCCATGCTGTGACTGCCTGGCAAAAGGTGAGCCACGCTTGCTCCCAGACAGACAGGTTGTGTTAATAACAGTGTGTAGGGACAGGGCTCCACCTGCCAGTGAGCTTTGCACCATCTGTCATTAGAACAGGAGCCAGGAACATAGCAACACGATGAGGAGAGAGCAGGGAATGGGATTAGAGTAGAGAGCTCCAGTGGGGGAAACGCACCAGCACAGACACAACGGGGAGAGAGCAGGGAATGGGATTAAGAGTAGAGAGCACCAGTGGGGAGCGAGCCCCAGCATAGACACGATGGGTAGAGAGCATCATCAGAGATTATCACATATGAACTGTGGCCCATGGCAGTGATGAATTTATTCCAAACATGACAAGGGTTGTCAGAGGATGGAATGGTTTGCCAGGGGTGGCCGTTAGAGCACAGTTTGTGGGAATTAAAATAGAACTAAACAACTATATACTGAGAAGGATATTAGAGAAAGAGTAGGGAATTGAGTAAACAAGAGGAGTAAGCACTGACATGAAAACATTAGCTGATTAGCTCCTACACTGGTCCCATTTAGGAACATAGGAACGGGGAGGACATTCAGCCACTCAAGCCTGTTCCGCCATTCTCTTAGATCAAGGCTGATCTGTACCTTTTGCCCACAAAATATACAGTCAATTCACTTTACAGTATATTCTGTGAAGCGCTTTGAGATGTCTCGAAGACATGATAAGATGCTGTATCAAATACAAGGATTATTATTACCTCAATTCCATTTAATCGTCTTTGCTCCATATTCCTTGAAAGCCTGACATAACATCTATCTGCCTCAGTCTTGAAAATTTGAATTGATCCAGCATCCACAGCCTTTTGGGGGAGAGAGTTCCAGATTTCCCTTTGTGTGAAAAAGTACTTTCTAATTTCGCTCCTAAGTGGTCTGGCTCTAATTTTAAGATGATGTCCCCTTGCTCTGGATTCCCACACCAGGGGGATTAGTTTCTCTGAATCTACCCTATCAAATCCCTGTATCAATTTGAACACCTTAATTAGATCACCCTTCAACCCTCTAACCTCAAGGGAATAGATAGATACCATTCTATACCATAGAAACGATCTCTGTGGTTTCTATGGTAATGACTTGTTTGGAAGGAAGGAAAGGACTGTTCACTCCTAACACTTGAGTTTCAGGGTGCATCTTGACTCTCGATCTCTCCACCGTCTGTTTCTGGAATCAAGTTTTGTTACTCCACACGCCTCCGTTTACTTAGCAGTAAGTAGGAACCCAGTTGTTAGTCAATTGGTGTATCACTTTCTGGGGAGGCAATACACCCTCCAAAAAAACATTTGGTCATTCAATCCACGACTGTGTGTTCGACGCTACGTGGTACACTGCTGTGCACAATTGGCTGCCCTGTTTCTCTCAGAAAATGAACAGTCAATCCGTGAAACGCTTTGAGACATGAAATGCAAGTGTTATGGGAGCATCTGGGAGCTTTTCACAGTGGCTGGGATAGACCCTGAGCGAGGAGAAAGTGGAAAGCCTCCTTCAAAACCTGTCTCAAGACCCTCCTCTTCGACCGTGCCTTCCGGATTCCCCCCCCTGTCCTCCCCGATCCCGACCGCTAGCTCGGGTCCGAAACACTGATTGTCCAGCGTCTTGGGACATCCTCCCGACGTGAAAGGCGCTATACAAATGTAATTCTGTTGTTGTTTTGGCGATAGATAGAGTGGGCAAGGCAGAGGGAGAGGTCTGTTTGTGAGATATTACTCTTTGCATAATTGACAACAAAATACGCGACTCTGCAGATTCTCCCACAAAACACACAGGCTCTACACTATACAGTACTTTATATCCTCAGAGACACTTTGAGATGTCTTCCTGACATGAAAGGCATCATATTATTTTAAATCATTATTATTGCAGTATTCAAAACAATCCACCTACACATGAAAATCCCAGAGATAGATTGTTGGAATGCGCACTCTCTCCCTGGAGGGATGTATCCTGCTCACCTGATTCCGTAACGTATTAGGTGCAGGTTAGTGAGAACCAAGGCTTGGGGGACCCCAGAATGTCCGTTGGGGTACCCGCTGGAGTCTAACCAGCTAAAATCGCGTAGCTTGCCATTAAGAGCACTGTCTGGCAAGCTTTCCTGCCTCTTCTCCAGCTAGGTCCACCCAACCCGTTAGGGCTTTGGCTTGCAGGGTTAACAGGAGCTAAGTGGGAGGATTCCCTGCCCCCAGTAACTGGTCTGCCCTTCCAAATCTTGACAATGAACTGGGCTGTCATCAAAAGTGCCCTGGAATACTGACTGCGGAGCTGCCTGGCTCAGGAACCGGACTAGAGACCATCACAGAGGGCTGGCTCGATCCTGACATTCTGTTGCCAAGCCAGGTCAACTGCAAGGAGACCCCACTTCCCCCACACCACCAAGGTGGGGAAACTGATAGTGTTTAATACAGAAAAGCTTTTAATCACTCCGCTCCCAGACACAGGCATCAATATTTGAGTATTGTGAACTTTGCCAGCGCCTTAGGGTGTCTCCTCTGATTTCCCGATCAAAGTGATGTGGACCTGTTTGCAGCGAGCTGTCTGCTCCCGACAATGAAATGATTCCACATGCCTCGTTATTAAATATTAACGAACGGAACCGCACGCCCTCTCGTGGGGCCGTAGGAGCCGGCAGATCCATCTCTTTAATGAAGGCAGCACAAAGCCTGGCCTCACTAATGATGTGACACCCAGTATTGATCAGCGCTGCGGGCGCTGTGGTGTCTCTCTCTGATAAAGCTCCGTGGCGTCTCGCTCTGATAACACGCTCGGCCCGGCCTGCTGAATAGTACAGCACGGCCCACGCCAGCAACCCGGGCACAGACGGGAAGCTCCTACTTTCAATACAAGTGGCAATTGCGGGAGTCGCACAGCGCAGTGGTTAGAGCGCTCGCCTCGCAAACGAGAGGACCCGGGTTTGTTTCCTGGGCGGGACGAAACATTAGGCAAGTTTCCTTACTCCACCGCCTCAGTTTACCTAGCAGTAAGTAGAAAACCTGGTTGTTAGTAGATTGGAGGATCGCTTTTCCAGGGGTAATAATCCCTTTCAAAACAAAATTATAATTTGGTCAGTCAATCCTCATCTGTTTGTGGGGCCCTTCTGTGCGCAATTGGCTGCCAAGATTCACCCACAAAATATAGTCAATTCACTTTACAGTATGTTCTGTGAAGCGCTTTGAGGCATCTTAACGGCGTGATAAGGAGGGAAACGGAAGGATTATTATTATCATAGTTAATGACCGCTCATAGACTGACCCTCTGAGTTCCAAGCACACAGTAGGGCAGAGGCACAGGTTTTGGTTGTGATGGGAAATCATAGAGATCCAGAGAACGTTACACACAAAACAAGGCCATTTGGCCCATCGTGTATGTGCCTCTTCCTCAAGAGCTCCCTCTTAGCAAGTTAGAGGTGCTCATCATACAATGACTTGCTGTGAGTGTGCTGTGAGTGCGTGTGTGTGTGAGAGGTCATACATGAAGCCAACGTATGGCAAGCATTGTTAATGTGTGAGGTCACACGTGTGACACTGGCATGTGATGACCACAGTGTGTGTGTGAGGTCATACATGAAGCCAGCATGTGAAGACCGCAATTAGTGTGTGTGTGTGTGTGAGAGGTCATACGTGAAGCCATCGTGTGAGGCGGAGGCGAAGCGGGAACCGGGGGAAAAATGTTCATTGGAAGCAGAGTTAAACACCTCTGTGTGTTTGGCAGAGCATGAAGTTTAATAACAAACCACCTTTATCATTGTGGAGTTTAAAAAAACTGAAGTCAGCGCTTATCAGGGTGAGGTTTCACTGTTGCAGACTGTTTACTCTATATGACAGACGGGGCAGAGTGACAGACACGCCGGAGTGATTACACACAGCAATGTGATGGAGGCTGCAGATAGTGTCAGAATCCACAAGCCTGATGCTTGAACATGTTATAAATTGTCATTTAAAGACGGCGATTAGATTACGTCTCCAGATCAACTCTAATATTGTCGCTCTTGTGTTTAATGCATTCTGTCAGCTTTGAGGCCCCCGATTCCACCCGGTCTTAGGCCATAAGACTATTTTGGATTAATATTTTGATCGCGGCACATTCCTGAAAAATTCTGGAATCCTAATTTGGAAGCCGCTTTTCCGCTGATCTTAAAAGGAAGTCCCGGAGGCACAAATCTTTTTTGTGGAGTCCCGTAGCGAAGTGGTTCGCGCTCTTGCCTTGCAAGCGAGAGGACCCAAGTTCGGTTCGTGGGTGAGGCGAAACCTTAGGCAGGTTTCCTCTGTTTGCCTCACAGTAAGCAGGCCAGTTGTTAATCAATTGCTTTCTCAGTAATAATCTCTTCAAAAGAGTTTTTAAAAAGTTAAAGAGGTGGTCACTCAATCCACGACTGTTTGTAGAACACTACTGTGTGCAATTGTCTGCCACATTTCTCCCATAAAGAACACAGTCACTCTACTTTGCAGTATATTCTATGAAGCGCTTTGAGATGTCTTAATGACATGACAAGGTGCTATATTAAATGCAAAGATTATTACTATACCTGTAGCTGTAGAGGTGGGGAAGATATACGCACATACGTATAAACATGTGGGTCACATACACACACCCGTAACTGCATGAAAGTCTCACCCACATGATAAGGCGCTGTACCAAATGCAAAGATTATTATTATAATTAATAGTAAACCTTGCATTTGGTTTCTGTGGTATGTGGGAAATAAGTAACAGGAGCTAAGCGAGCGCAGCAAACAGAGATACAATACAAAATCCAAGATTACATTTGTTTAGCTCCTTTCACGTCAGGAGGACGTCCCAAGGCGCTGGACAATCAGAGACGTGAGTGTTACTGGAAGGGCTGAGGCAACTCAGTGACCCTCCCTGTCCCAGCCCGTCCCTCTCCCGTGTTAATACTGTGCTGTTTGTGTCCCCCAGATCCCAGTGCCCTGGCTGGCCAGACTGGAACTGACCATGCCATGATCGGTGGAGTGGTTGCTGTCGTGGTCTTCGTCACCCTCTGCTTGATTATCGTGCTCGGTCGCTACCTGGCCAGACATAAAGGTGAGCAACACACAACACACAGGGATGTGTACGCAACGAGATAGGGAAACGCATATGGCGCACGCGTGTAACGATATAAAGGTGGGTAACACGCACACGTACATGTCACTGTAGAGGTGGGGAAGATGTGGATTGACCTGTGGATCGCTTTTCAGGGATAGTAATCTCTCCAAAGAAAAAATTGTCACTCAATATACGACTGTTTGTGGGACACTGCTGTGCGCAATTGGCTGCCACGTTTCACCCACAAATTACACAGTCATTACAATTTACAATATATTCTGTGAAGCACTTTGAGACGCCTCAACGACGTGATAAGGCGCTGTATCAAATGCAAAAAATATTATTATAAACATAGAGATGGGTAACGTACACTATATATCATTTATGTACAATATAATACATCTACATTACACAGCACCCTTCATGTCACAAGGACATCTCAAAGCCCAAAGGGAGCGAGACCGTAAAGGTAGAATGTGTGAGACTGTGATATACACACACGCGTGTATCTAAAGGTGGATAACATGTGAGTAACTACATAAAGGAGACAGACTAGAGAACTGGTCAGACAAGTGGCAGATGCAGTTTAATGCTTTCAAATGTGAGATAACACCTTTCAACAACAACAACAAATTTACAATTGTATAGTGCCTTTCACGTCGGGAGGAAGTCTCAACAAGATAAAGAACAGTGAGTGGAAGGACAGCCCGATGGAAAAATTATATAAATCACAAAAAGTGGGGAACTAGATAGTTGACGGAGCAGGAAAATATTGAAATTGTCTGTTTAAGTATGAACACTGAAAATAAACAGAAGTGTGCTTCGGAAAGAGACTGTCATTCTGGTCTGGTACTAGTCGATTGTCGAATTGCTTTCTGGGGTAATCCTTCAAAAAAATATAATAAATATTAATAATTTGATTGCTCAGTCCTTAACTGTTTTTGGGACACTGCTGTGTACAATTGGCTGCTGCGTTTCGTTCACAAAATACACAATGAATCCACTTTACAGTATATTCTGTGAAGCGCTTTCAATGACTTGATAAAGCGCTATATCAAATACAAAGCTTATTATTGTTATTTCCTAGCTTGCGGGTGTCAGACCACAGGGGATGACTCTTGCCTCTGAGTCAGAAAGTTGTGCGTTCAAGCTTCATGTCAGCAGGGAGGGGCGTGTGCTTAGGATTTCCTGATTCCCGCAGATGGCGTTCCAGTCAGGCTATATGACCAATCTGTGGCTGTCTCGTTACAGGAACATACCTGACCAACGAAGCCAAGGGAGCGGAGGATGCCCCGGACGCAGACACAGCGATCATCAACGCGGAGGGAAGCCAGGCCAACGCCGACGAGAAGAAGGAATATTTCATTTAATCCCCATTTGCCCAGAGAACAACCCAACTGCTGTTAGAGAATGGCTCAGATCTGGACTCTCACCCACCGGCTACCCCTCCCCACTGTGTGTATGTGTGTGTGTGTGAGTCACTGAGACCCACCCCCCACCTCCCGTGACTGCTCTGTAATTACCATCCCCACCCAGACAACTTCACCCTGGACAATAACTTGCTTTTTTTTATGTACTTTGACTCTTAGACGGTGCATGGATCTCTTTCCTTCACTTTTCACATGGAGCTTATCAGGCGCTAAGCCACGTACTAACAGGCTGCACAACACCCCCCCCCCACCACCACCACCCCCCCCCTCCTCCATCCTCTCATCCCAGCGCTCGCTCTGCTGTTTGTGTGTCTGTGTGCTGCTGGCTGGGGGGGAGGGGAGGTGGGGTTTGGGGGGGGGGGGCAGAGCCACTGGCCACAGCTTCCGCCAGTACTGACCGACCCAACTGTGTGTTGAGTGAGTGTATATATGTGTAAGGGTGTGCGAGTGGGTGTCAGGGTGAGTATATGAGTGTGTGTGGGACTGTGTGTTTGCGTATGTGACAGACTGTGTATAAATGCGTGTGGGTAGATGTGTGGGTGTGTATGAGTGTATATATGTGTGTAAGTGCGCGGGTGTGTGTATGTGTGTCAGTGTATGAGTGAGTGTTCTGTTTTATTGCTCACCCCTCACACCCACTCCCTCCTCAAACCCTCTCACACCCACTCCCTCCTCACACCTATTTACACCTGCTCCCCAATCACATCCGCTCACACCCACTCCCCACTCACACCCACTCCCCAATCACATCAGCTCACACCTACTCCCCACTCACACACACACACACATACACACAATCGCAGGGCCAGGGTGGGAAGAAGAGAGGAGGGAGCTGAGTTGCGATGGGTGTATCAGGCTCTCAGTGTGAGGTTGAGTGATGTGGATAGGGACCAGGTTGTATGTGTGGTGTTTCCTGGTCACTACGCGGAGCAGGATCCTCTACACACAGCCTCGGTCTCACTCACACACACTGTGCCACCTGTCGCTGCTCGGGACAGCCACTGGCACTGCCCTGGGCTGTGTATGAGGAACGCTGACACACTCGCACACTCACACCATGTCCCCGGTCCAAGCCCAGGTCCTGAGCTCCACGTTGTAAACAGCTTCTAGGAACAGACAAGATTCTGACAACAACAACTTGCATTTAAACAGCGCCCTTCTCCATCTTCAAACTCTTGAGGCCCAAAGTAAATGATCGCTGTAACACTACCCCCACCTCTGTCCCCCCCCCCCCCCCCCCCCATCAATATCCTCATCAACTCGCTATCCAGTTCCCTCCAGAGATTTCCTGACACAATCTAATTGATACCCTCCCCCCCCCTTTCAGGAGGATGGCCACTAGTTTGACATCCAACAAACAAGTGTTGGTTTGAGCCCTCACTCGGTGCATGACAGGTACCAGGAACTCCCTGCTAGCTTCCTGGTGGGCAACACAGCACCGCATGAAATGCGTGAGAGCGTCGCTCGCTGTCTCCGAAGTGTGAAGCATTCTGTGTGGCCTGGTACCATCCGATCGATGGGGAGCGCGAGCGTCATGCATGTGACTCATGCCCTCACCCACCTCCCCCCAATCGATCACAGTTTGGACACAGGGTGCAGATTCTGTGAGGCGTTGGCACTTCTCTGGTGTGTTTAATGCAACTCTTCCCCCCCCCCCCCCCACCCCACCTAATCTCCCTGATCCCTTCAGAAGCTGTCACAATTGTCAATAGAAACAGTGTGAGCATTAAGGCCTCCTCGGTCTCTTATCACAGCAACTCTCGTCTGATACCCAAACGGCTTCTTATCAGGCGAAAGTCCACACGCCACACGCGTGCACTCTCACTCGGAAATGTATGCGGGCCCACGTGTACACATCCACACAATGCGGTACGATCATGTACACACATACACACACACACTTGTGCGTTTGTGTGTGCAAGGGTGCACTTGCATGTCAACATGCACACACACGCACCCACAAATCACACACCTGGCATCAACCCGGTATCAGTTCACAGCAAGTGCTAGCGCAGGCTGTGTGTATATTTGTGTGTGTGTGTGTGTACCAGGCACCTGAGTGCTTGCCCCTCACCTCCCTACTTGGAGTATGAACTTGAGAAGCACAGAGATTGAGGTGTAGTGCAACACTAGAACAAGGGAAACAAGAAGGGATTGGAAGGGGCCATCAAAAGAGAAACAGAGAGACAGCATAAAACACCTCTGAACTGCTGTAGCTTTTTTTTAAAAAGTCTTAACAATGAAAAGGGGAAACTTCTCAACGATTAATCAGCAACACATCATGAGAGTGGTCACCATAGAGCCAGAGACAGTCACAGCCTTCAAGAAAGCCATTCGGCCCACCGTGTCCATTTTGTTCTTTTAAGAGCGATCCTCTCAGTCCCATTTCCCTGCTCCCCCCCTTCCCCCCCACCCCACCGCCTGCCCCCATTTCTGTTGATTTTCTGCAGTATTTTGCTTGAACGTAATAGTCTGTAATTTCACACCACAGGTGGAGGTGAGGAGAAGGGGTGGGCCATGCTCAAAATTTAGTCAGGACCCAGGTCACAAAACCCAAGGCAATATTTATAGAGGGGGAGGGGGGTGGGGAGGGAGAAGAATTAGGTGTTTTCAACGTGAAACGAGGGCGTGTATATTGTATTAAACTGGCTTTTTAATAACATGTTTACCTTGACGCTTTCTAAGTAGGAAGAGTGTTAGGAATGGCTTCCGAACAGGGTGGGGATATGATAGCGCATTGCTTCGCTGTACTTTGGAAACCAGTGTTCATTGCAAAGTCCTGAACTCCACTGTAAGAACTCACATCGGTCACTTGCATGACATGGCGGAGGTCACGTGTGTAAACCCGGCTTCTCTCCCCCCCCCCCCCCCCCACTCACACACCCCCCAGGGGAGTGGGGGGGTCACACTCACCACACACACACGCGTGACCGAAGCCCATTTCCCGAACCACTCACGTGGAACGGTCCACGGCCCTATCATGAGTAGCAGACGGCTTGAACGCGGTTCATAATTTGTACTAAAAACTCTTCTCATTTTTTTTTCCACGATTGTTTTCGGATCATTATGTTCGGGGGTTACTGCAACGCAGCCGCAGCGGCTTGTTACGTGACGTATGTAAAAGCTCGGAAGGGAAGGAAAAGAGTAGGACACACTGTACTGTAATTCATTGTGTGACATTTTTAGTGGCTGTGTGGCATCTCAGGAATATGTTGGAATGCGACTCGGCGGGGGCGAGGCTGGGCGGGGGCGAGGCAGGGCGGGGGCAGGGCGAGTGGCCCGCCCTCTCAGCAGCCCCCCAATACTCCCACTCCCCCCACCCACCACCCCGCGAGCTCGGTCACATGGAGTTCTGTGTGTGTTATTTTCTTTTGTTAATCATTAAACTGTTAATAAAAAGAATTAAGATGCTCTCTCATGATCGGAAAGTGTAGCCTGACCCCAGTTATTTCTACAGTCAATGTTGGTGCTCACTCCCCCACTGGAGCTCTCTACTCTAATCCAATTCTCTTTACGTTTCCCCATCATGTCCGGCAACAAACATGAAGGGAATGACCAGTTTTATTTGCGCGATTGTTGACCAGGACACCAGGACAAACTCCTTTTCTCCCTTTTTGAGTCGTGCCATTGGATCTTCATAGCATTTGGTCCCATGTTTCCTTTCTAAAGGAATGCACCTCCATCACTGCAGCGCACCCCACCATTGTACTGAAGTGTCAGCCTAGACTCCACATGGGGCTGAACCCGCAACCTTCTGACTTGGAGGTGAGAGCGGTGCTCACTGATCCAGGCTGACACTGGGGAAGGAGCGTCTATTTTCAGGACATTTGAGAATCTTACCACAAAATTTGCACAATTTGAAATGTGAAACGGTCTTTCAGGTGAGGTGGAATTTTGGACCTCCCCCCCACCCCCCACACTGCCTCTCACCACACAGCACATAGATCCACACAGACCACGTAGAGCCATACACACAGAAATACACACACGCACGCACGCACGCTCTAACCCAGGTGGCACTGAGGCCAATTGTAACCTGGCCTGAGATGGAGGTCTCTTTGGGGCTGGCGGCTGGCAGTGTTTAACACTGTGCGGTGACCGGCTGATGGCACAGGAGATCGTGGATTCAACCTGTGCCTAATACTTTCCAGAATTAGGTAAGTAGTGTGTGTCCCTCCAGGGAAGAGAGAGACTGCATATTCCATTCCAATACATGGGAATTTCCATGTGTAGGTTCCACACCCATATATTGAACTCTCAGTTTGGATGGGAGACTCGTAATCACAATGAAGGGTTTCTACGTGTGTGCTGACCAGAAAGTAAAGAGAGTGAGGGTGATAAATCACAGGGAGAGAATCTCTTCTCATTCATGTCCATGAGCAAACATGGATCACATTTAATTTTTGTTTGCGTAATTAACGATTAGTCATCCTTGACCATGTTTCTCCATTTATATGCTAAGATTTTGTTCTGTGTACGGAATACAGAGCAAGCAACGTCCTTGGTATAGCGTGGCGGACAGACACATAGAAACAGCAGCGTGTGTGTCAACCCAGCTCACTGTGTGTGTGTGTGTGTGTGTGTATGTATGAGAGCCCGGCTCAGTGTGTGTGTGTCTGTGTGTATGTATTTATGAGATCCCAGCTCAGTGTGTGTCTGCCCAGCTCAGTGTGCGTCACCCCGGCTCAGTGTGTTAGCCCAGCTCAGTGTGTGTGTGTGTGTGTGTGTGTGTGTATGTATGAGAGCCCGGCTCAGTGTGTGTGTATATGTATGTATGAGATCCCAGCTCAGTGTGTGTCTGCCCAGCTCAGTGTGCGTCACCCCGGTTCAGTGTGTTAGCCCAGCTCAGTGTGTGTGTGTGTGTGTCAGTCCACATCAATGTTTCAGCCCGGATTATTATTATTATCACATAGTCTAAGATAACACTCCAATGCAGTGCTGGGGTGTGTTGTGAACCACTATGCTCCAGGACTCCGATTATAACATTTTATATGGGATTGAGAAAGTAAACCCAGAGCAGGATGCACTGAGACAGCAGAACAAGAGGACACAGGTTTCAAGTTGTAAAGGGAAATTTTTGAGACAGACACGAGGAAGTGTTTCTTTACCCAGAGGGTAATTAACGACTGGAACAGGGTCACCAGGAAGGGTGGTTGAGGCCAGGACACTGGGATTGTTTAAAATGAGTACTCAGCACAAAGCAGTTCTGCTCAAGGACGTGATGGGGTGCCATGTCGGATGCAGGGA